AAAAAAAACCCTGGTAACCAGTTTCCGCTTAAATAATTGTCATTACAATTCATGCTAATACTGCAAAATAAACAACACAAATATGGTATCTTATTCAAAACGGTGTAAGATGCTTTTGGAATCAGTCACTTTTACAGTAGCAAAATGTCTGCCAAAAGTCTCATCAAAACAACGCCTACTTTGTTAGAGTCCACCACATTTTCTGTTTGTCCGGTTTTAGACAAGGGTTTGTCTACGTTTTTCGTTATTATTAGACGCCGTTTTGGCAGTAACTTACACCATTATTGTTTTTTATTTTTTTTTTTTATAAAAGGCTGCCTACATAGGCTATACAGCATTTTTGGTCATCATTTGTGCATAATTCCCCAAATGCTGTCTAGTTATGCAACTTGCAAGGTTTTGACATTTGTGAGTGACTGAAGATTTCCTTGTACTGTACATGAGGGAAACACAAGTTAAGTAAACAGTTAAACTGGTTTATTTTGCAATAATGCTGGAAAGAAAGAAAGAAAATAAAGTTTCATGACATGTTATGGTACCTCTGGTACTTTCTTGTACTGTATGTATTTGGATATACAATGCACCCTTCTGGTGAAGAAGAATACAAAAATCTCATTATTCCTCCTCGCATAAAGCAAATTACAAACCAGTACTAGTGTGCAATAAGACAGAGATGGCACCTGAAAAGGGAACACTGAATTTAACAAACTTAAAGGCAACTACAAAGAGCACTGTCATTTGTCAGATAAAACTGCACTCTGCACTGTGATGAAAAGGAATGAAATGTCAGTTACAGCGAGCTCAGATGATGAGTTTTTGGCCAATGTTAACGCGTGGTCTGACCACAGACACCATTCACAACTTTCGTCCTGCATATCATTTCCTCTTCCTCTTCCTGTGGGACTTCACTTGTGTGTCTCTTTCGTGCTGCTGACTCACTGTCATCTAGCGCTGCACATTTCTTGTCGTCCCTCTTGCGTTTATTTACCAGTCCGCTGTGCTCCTCTCCGATTCGACCCTCTGGAAGCCCGAGTGTGCGTAAACACACTATAGCCGCGGCCTGCTCTGCAAACTTCTTTGATTTCTCCCTGAGGAGGGCGGGAGACAGAAATACCGTACAGTCATTCTCTCTGCACTACTACAGTGTGTACATAACTTCATCAACAACCAAACTCACCACAGGGCAGAGCGGTACTTTTTATTGTCAATGATAACTGTAGACTGAAAAGCTCGATCTTGAGTTCGCTGTTCCTGAGAAGTAAACAAACGGTTTAGGTTAACAGGTTGATATTAATATTCCAAGGCCACAAAACTTTTCCAGTTGATCCAGATTTACTGGATATGGAAAAATAAATAATTTATATATTTAAAAATATATAAAGATGCAAAAAAATAAATAAAGATATTAAAAATATATAAAATGTGTGTGGTTTTTAATGCTAGTTTTGTCTTATGTTAAATCGTTTGAAGTATTCTTGAGACCAGTTTGCTGAGGCCCCAGTCGAGAACTGACCGTCTCATATACAGGTTGATCAAGCTTTTCCTTGCGGCTCCATTCCAGCAGGTACATCTTTGGTGTGATCTGAGGAGGGTAATCTCGCCTGGGGAACACAGACACGAGCATAAATACAGTAAATGTGAACAAGTTAGAGTCCTTTCTATTTTAATGGGCCAAAAAGGGTCAATTCACCTTTCGAAGCGGACAGGCATTGTGATGAGATCATCTTCATGCGTTGGTTGCTCTGTCTGATCGCCGTTGGTCTGCAGAGCAGCTTTTCTGGCCTCCAGTTCAGCTTTGGTCTTGTTGTAGAAGTCAGTCATTCCAAACACCTCACTGCAAAGCACAGACATGCAAAACACAGACATGCAAAGGAGTGAAACTTAATGAAAACATGCAGAGGTCATATTTAAATTAGTGCTGTCAAACGATTAATTGCATCCAAAATAAAAGCTTTTGTTTACATAATATATTTATGTGTGCTGTGAATATTTATGTATATGTATGTATGTACAGTAT